CCAAACTCTCTCCCGTGTGCTGTTTCCTTCTTCCACTTCAAAGGTCGGGTCTCCCTCCCCTCTCCGCTCCACAAGTCACATAGTTTTGGAGCGGGACCGGTAGTTGTTGCCTAACATCCTGACCCTACCTAAGCTCAGTGTGTCAAGGTCAGCGAGAACGCAGCGCTGCTCTCTGTACTGACCTACATCGTCAAACTCACCCGCACTAAACGCCGTCTTATTGCGATAGCTGGTCGTCATTGTCTCGCTCATTCAAACAACGCTGAAAACTTCCCCCTACTTGTCGCATTCGTCTCCATACCAGCAGCGCAGAGTCCGCAACCGAGGAAGTAGCGAAATAAGCGCTGGAGGAGAAAAACTCTCCTCTGGATTGCTGGTCGGGGCTCTTCAGTGCGTCCCCGCCGCGCCCTCCCGGCGCTCAGCAGCAAGGCCCCGACCATCCATCTGCACCCGCGCCCGCGCCCCGCCGCAGCGGACGTCTCTACTCGTCTCCGTCCTCGAGTAGACGGGATCAATCCTCAGGGAAGAAAAGTGAGCCGGGTGCGGCGCGCCCGGAGGCCGACGATCAATACCGGCAATGTTGCCATTTGCTTTATTGTCGGATCAAAGGAGTCTGCGCGTGAGCCTGCCGTCGAGCATGAGTATGACCTCCCGGTCCAACTCACGATCCAGTGGTTTGTGTGTGTCGCGTCGTCGGGCGGGGTTGGGCGCGCGAGCACGGCGGCGTGCCCTCCTCCGCGGCCTTGATCTGGAGCACGGCGCGCGGCGCACGCGGCCTCGGCGCCCGCGCACGCACAATGCTGCACGTACGCACGCACGAGGCCCCGGCCCGGGTGGCGCACCCGCGCGGCCCGCGGAGCAAGGAGACTCGTTTAAATGGACCGCCGGCCACCGTGAGTCACCTGCCGCAGACAGACGGGAGCCGGGACGTCGTTGGCGTGTCTCTGCTAGGCGCAAGGGCACCTCCTCGGGCACCTTCATCACCTCTTCGTACTTGACCCGCTAACCAACTCGCCCAGCAGCTGATACAGTGCAGTTAGGGATCATCCACAAAGTACGTCCGCCATTTACCGTTACGAACCTTCCAAGTCCAGCCTCTACAAGTGCTCCGAACGCCTGGTAGTTAGGCAACATCTCGCCTGCAGAGCATGGGCGTACTGCGGGGTGGACTACCCGGAGTCTCACAGGCGCTGAGCTCTCATAATTTGCCGAATGAACCTGTGAAAAACGGACGCATTTCTGGACGAATAGGCAAAGCGGGACCGCTGCTGGCTTGCTACCAATCGCCTATCGCTTCCATCCATGGCACCTCGCACGGTTCCAAGTAGGTGAGCGACCCGCGCTCGCTGTAACACCCACAGCTTACTCCGACCACGCTTGATGCGCAGCGCACCCTGTTTTTGTCCTTAGCTTTCCAGATCATGATCTTCCCCACATCGTATTTAGTCCAACACTCCATTTAGAGAACTTACTTAAGTGGGCCTTTACAATGTCGTGCCGCGTCCGAAAAGCACCGTGTTTTAACATGGTGACCTCCGGTTTTCTTGTTCCCTGCATTCTTTTGCATTTGAACTTTACCGGAATGCTTTATTCGCCACCCCCGTAGGAGCCGGACACCTGGAGTGGCAGTCGCGCAAGGTGTTCCCCGAGGCACGAGGCTGAAGGGGTGGGGGGGCTCCCATCTGATTCCGTGCCATTCACAAAGCCCTGCCCGCGCCACACCCCCGCCCCGCCCCGCCTTTGCCACGCCGTGCCACGCTTGAGCCGCTTGTGCCCGGAATACGTGTGCTGCTTGTCCAGGCCGGGCCCTGGGGCCCCGTGCGAGGCTAGACTCCTTGAGATGCGCGCGCCGTACGGCGTGACGTCGTGCCGCCGCGTCGTGTGGCACGCTCCGCACCCTGGCGCATGCAGCCTGCTCTGCCTGGTGGAAGCAGCAGTCGAAAATGTTGAAAAAAATGTCCGCGCTTTTCAAAACGAACCCGTTAAGGGTCGTTTCTACCAGGCAGCGGACTACAGAGGGGACCAGCGACATCACCTTTGCATTTGACCCGCGTCTGGGTAACAGTAGCCCAACAATGAACACCTTGCTTGAGTAGTCCCCTCTCCAAGCGCACACTCCACCCACGCGAAAAATAATGAAGTTATAAAACGAAGGGTCCCAATAATGCGCAAAAACACCACGCTCAAAGAATAATTTAACTAATGCTTCACATATGCCTTTAAAGTTTCATAACACCTTACGAGACTAAATTTTCCTAGCCGTGGGTTCGTTTCCAAATTTGAGAGAGTTGTTCACGTTTTTGTTTGAATATACTCGCCCACAGTCGCTCACGGGGCGCCGCACTAACTGTGATTAAGGGTTGGGGAGGCTGCACGTCGGCAAACATACCTCTACTTGTTTTCCGAGCGGATGCGCCTGAAGGGGCGGCGCCGCCCAGCCGGCCAGGGGCGCTGCTCTGCACTGCTTCATCCGGAGCCGCCCGGCGGCCCCGCCCCGCCGCCGAGGGCAGGGTTGGGAGTCACTCAGGCGGAAATCATGGACCGCACGTTTCACCCGGACGTGTGTTGTGAATTTGTGCGATCAGTCAGATAAATCAGGTAGTCTAAAAGGCCGTCGAATACAAAATCGAGAATGCGCGGCATTCTGTTGCAATGACTGAAATATCATAAGAAGAAGGCGTTCATTGTGGTGTGTGTTTGTGTGTGTGCGCGCGTGCGTATTAAAGGCTTTCTTCCACGTGGGAAAGAAAGTATTGGACAGGAGGGCACCTTCAGCGCGTGCCTCGCGCTGGCGCCCTGCCACCCAGGAGGAGGGGAGCGGGCGGTCCCCCCGCAGGTCCGGTATGACGTGACCCTTCCTCGTCACCGGCCGCGCAGCGCCCGCGAAACGCAGGAAAGTGAGAGCAAGCGAGGCGCATCCGGTCGAAATGCTCACTGCGAATAACACCCACCGCTGCCGCGTTTACGGGCGCAAAGTGCCACAAAAATCCGCGACTTTTACGCGCCTATTTAGTCACGCACATAGGGAGCAGTGCAAAAGAAATGGGCGCCGGGAAGAACACTGCTAGGTTCGAAGAGGAGGGAGAGGGGAGAAGATCCCCTTAATAGCCATGTGACTTTGGGTGGCGCCCACCCTCTGCTGGCTCATTCGCAGGCACGGCCAGGAGATCACCCTTGCTCGCTCCTTCTCCTACCCCTCCCCTTTCCATTCTCTCTCTCTATCTCTCTCTCTCTACTTCACACACACGCTCCTGCTCTCACTCCCTCTCACACAAGTAGCAGGCTGCTGAGCCAAACTGGCAGACTCAAGGGCGTCTGGAATTGCTCCCCTTCTTAGATAAGAAAACGCCGTGAAGGGGTAGGGGTGCTGTGCGATGCTATCAAGCGCCAGACTAAATTCCTGCTGTTTGTGTTCTCGTCAATTTCCCGACGACGTGTGCTCGGGCCTGTTGGCTCCCCCTCCATTTTCCTCTGCCCCCCCCCCTCCCTCTCTCGAAGAGGCCTAAAGTGAAGCGCGTCGCCTCGCGCCGCTCCAAACACAAATCGATTCGCGGTGACAGCGAGGGAAAGGCGCGACAAATCCCATGCCGGAAACAATATTGGAAGCG